AGGAAAGTGGACCTTGAGGGCCAGAGTTGAGAACCCCTGGGCTAATACAAATGGAAAACCAAAAAGATACTGAAAGCTTCTGATGTTGTTTGAAGGAGATCCCATATTTATTTATCTATGATGCTCAGACTTACGACTTTCTCCTGATAAACAGGCATAAAAATCTATGGAAGCTTGTTTCTGCAATGAAAAAAAAAAAAAAAAAAAAAAAAAAAGTCATTGCGGTTTAACAGATTAAAAATAATTGCAAAAAACACAATTACTTTTGCACCAACAGAATAACTGTTTGAGGGTGGAGCTGGGCTGTTTAGGTAATATGGTCAGAGAAAGTAAAAGAGAAAGATGACTAAATCATTTGGTTCGGGATTTCTATTTGGGAGACTATAGCTGAGAAAGTAAAAATTAGCTTGGAACAAGCAAATAAATTCTGCCTGCCCATGTATCAGAACAGGGGCACCGATAAACCCAGCTGCAATGTTAACAGGAAGCATTACTTCTCCCAAGGTCAAGTTACAGCTGTAAAGTGTCCCAATAACCATGTTCTTGGAATGACTATTACTTTTTTACTAAGATTTCCTTTTTCCCCCTAAAATCATAAACAATCAGAATTTGCTGTTTGAAATCATTTTACTAAGAATGAAAACATGCCTGGAGGACCGGCCGAGTGGCATGTTGGCTAAGAGTTGGCTTAAGACAACAGCTCTGAGCAGCAGGGCCCCGGTTCAGATCCCACATTAGGGCCAGTGACGCTGCACCCTCTACAGCTAAGATGGTGAACAACAGCTCCACCTGGAGCTGGGCTGCTGTGAGTCGCCAGAGCTGGCATAGGCTGCAGTGAAACTGCAGCGGGCTGCCATAAGCTACTGTGAGTGACTGGCAGCCCGCGTGAGCAGCCGACAGCCAGGGTGAGCTGCCAAGAGCCACCGTGAGCAGCTGTTCAATGGCAGGTGAGAAACTGCCTCACCCAGGAAGAGCACAATGATAATACCAACATGGGTCAGTGAAGCCATGTCCTCCACAACTAGACTGAAGAACAAAAGGACAGCAACATGTTCCCCTCCCCCAATTCCCCAATTAAAACAAAACAAAACAGGGGCCGGCCGAGTGGCGCGATGGTTAAGAACTCGCTTGGGATGCCAGAGGGCCCTGGTTCGGATCCCACATGAGGGCCAGTGACACTGCCCTCCACAGCTAAGATGCTGAACAACAGCTCAACCTGGAGCTGGGCTGCCGTGAGTCGCCGGCGACGGCGTGGGCTGCAGTCCCTGTGGCAGTGGGTTGCCATGGGCTACCGTGTGTAGCCAGCAGCCAGCGTGAGCGGCCAGCAGCCGCAGTGAGCGGCCGTCCAGAAGCCGGCGACTGATCTGCCTCGCCCGGGAAGAGCGCAATGATGGTGCCAACTTGGGCCAGTGAAGCAACATCCTCCACAACTAGACTGAAGAACAAAATGAGAGCAACTTGTCTGTCCCCCTTCCCCCAATTCCCCAGCACTGTTCCCATCCCCCCAATTCACCAATAAAAATCTTAAAAAACAAACAAACAAACAAACAAACAAAACAAAACAAAACAAAAAGACATGCCCGGAGGAGCTAAGTCACTGTGGCATGGAGAAGCAGCTTCAGATACAAACAAAGCTTCCGGACTCAGCAACATTCCACACCTATCTTAACTTTGTAGTTTCCAAGGGAACAGGGCTCTGGGTCCACTTTGATGTCTAGATCTGAAGTTGACCCTTCTCATGCAGTCCTGCCTTGCATTGAGCCAATAAAACACAGCTTGGTTTCCAGTTCATCTAACCTCACCCTTCCCCCAAAACTTTAATAACCTTTCCCTTTGTATGGTCAGACCCCCACAGTTCCCCTGCTGGGCAATTTCCCAT